CTCGGCCACGAAACTCTCGGCGCGCTATAAGCTGAGCGTAGCTTCCACTAGAGCGACTTCCTCGTCCTTTACATTCAAATGATTAACCGTTCTATTACCATGATATCATGACGAGCGGTGCAGCTGCGGCACGCTGCTAGTCTACGAAGTACAGCAAGTTCTTCATCTTATACTCATATTACAAGAAAGTGAGAGTTGTATCGTGCTGTCGGTGACGTTCCTGTGGCTCTGGTGTTGTGAGCGGCCGGTGGATACAGATCATATATTAAACCCGATGTGTCCAATTGTACAGCTTACTTTAAGTATAACATGCTCTCGGGATTTAATGTATCCTAGGTGTTATGTGCGCGATAAGCAACATAAACAGTTGGGCAACAAATGCAATCAAATTTATTTATGTTAGCATATTTGACAAAACCTCACTGATTTCAATACAATCGATTTTGTTAGTTTTCATGTCGGTAAATAAACAGCGGGATGTCTCCTGCTGTCCTGACTGAACACTCTGACACATCAACGTGTTATATATACGTGAGACCCTGCAGTGGGAACTTAGATTAAATACGCTTAGTCTTCGTAGTGAAAACAATAATGTTAGGTTATTTAATCAGTTTGTGACTGAGAGACTCCGCTGAACCATGGTGATGAAATGCTTTCGTTTAATCTCAAGCAAACACAAAAAACGTTAGCATTAAATCTGCAACGTCAACAGTATATCTGTAAAAATATCTATATCTATACTAATGTTATAAAGAGAAAAGATTTGTATTTTTGGATTTCTGTATGTATTTGATTCACGCAAAAACTGCGCCGAAAAATAATGTACAAAGAAATTGTAGATCTCAAAAAGTTCTACAGAAAAGTACACGATGGCATATATCTATCTTTAACGGTTTTCTTACAAAAATCAGTTTTTCGCTTACAAAATGAATAAAAGCCGCATGCTATTTGTGGCGTTGTTTTATTGGTTTCGATATTAATCCTTATCCAAACAAATACGTTTGTTGTCAGGGGAATTTGATGTACAATAGAATAAAATTATGATTAACAGTATTTAAATCGCACTAATAGTTTAGAAGATATCGCGAACACAAACAATAAAGGTAACCGAAAATTAGCTCACAAACTACCGTATTTATAGATTTAGAAACTTGCTTCAGTAGATTTCTGTTATTACGTACTGCCTGCAAATTTATCGAGTAGAGATTGAAAGAAAGGGCGAATATAGTAAAAAAATGTAACTCAGTAGTTTGTCGTTAGTCATTTAATACAACATTTGTGGGCACAATATCAGTGGTAGATGCAAGTTAGGTAAGGTTAGGACGCTGCGCCCTCCTACGTGCGCGGCGTGGGCGCGGGCGCGGGCGAGCGGGCCGGTGCGCGACGGGGGCGCAGCACGTCGGCGCCGGAAGCTCGGCGCGCCGCTCCACAAGGCGCAGCGCGGCGCCCGAGGCGGTCTCGAGACAGGCGGTGGGCGCGCGCGGTGTCCACGACACAGCAGGCCACGCCGGCGGCGGCGGGGCCACCTGCCGCCGGGGCCTCGCTTGGTACAGCCGAGGGTTCGGCACCAACTGGCTCGCCGGCCTCATCTTCTTTTTACGGCGGATCTTTGTATCGCTTCCTTTAGGTTTCTTCTTCGAATCCCGTAGACCCGGATACCTAGGTCACGGAGAGACAAGGCAGTGACAGTCGTAGAGAAAATATAGCTTTTAATGTAACGGCGATGAAGTACTCACAGTCTCGCGTTAGGCGTGTAGGGAGCGCGCAGTCGCCGCCGTCGCGGCCCGCCCAGGTCGATCACGTCGCCTGGCTCGCCGCTGCTGCGAGGGAATACGGTACACACATTCCTTATTTCGCCAGTCGTTTCAAATAAACAATTTTACAATTATATCTATTTTTACTTACTGTTCTTTTTTTTTCTTAATGACCATTTTGTGGGATCAACACGATAAAATTTAGATTAATCCACAAGCGTAAAATTTCAATTTTTTAAAGATGACAACCTTTGACGTTACATTGCTAAACATTCATGCACAGAGTACTTTACAACAAAGGCACTGTGCGAGATGTCACACAAACAATGTAACCACGATTTAATTGTGGTAAGAATTAAATAAAGCAACAATGTAATTAATGATTGTAGTTTACATATTGACACACCGATCTCTATAATCATTATTTAACTCTATATGTATTTACATTTTTTTTACAAATGACAATAGTGTGACATTGTGTGACATATGCTCTTTGCTGAGAAATGAAAGCAAACTACGCCGACTATTTTATTTCATCTTTAATATTTCACCTCAACAAATAATGGAAAGTAAAGGTAACATGTTATTTAAAACAAAAAAATGTATGCTTGTTAGTTTTTTAAGTATCTTCATCAGCCGAGGTAAGAGAGGTTGGCTCAGTATGTCCACGTGTCTGGCTGGGTCGCGGAAGATTGCGTGAGTGTTCCCGTGACCCAGCCATC